TGGGTGTGAGTCTGCAGCGGTGTGTGAGTGGGTGTGGGTGTGAGTCTGCAGCGGTGTGAGTGTGAGTGGGTGTGAGTCTGCAGCGGTGTGTGGGAGCATGGGTGTTCTGAGGGGCCAGTGCTGTGCTTACAGAGCTACTTGCCACTGACGTCATTGCTTATAGAGGCCCCCAGGGTGGAAGGCAGTTGCTCTGGGCGCTAGCCGGCAGGGGTCATGCGTGGGCATGGCACATGGTGACCTGATGACGTGTTGATGAGCAGGGAGCGGGGGTCTGGGGGCTGTACACGGGCACCCGCTGCTGCCTCATTCACGCCCAGGCAGGAGTGGGCTCCGAAGAGAACGTGCCCGCTGTGCTCTGGGGCACGCTGTGCTGTGTGTGCCCGCCTGAGTCTTCTCCGTTCTTTGGTAGGAGGCATTGCAAGGGAGAGTGGGGGTCAGGGCTGGGGGGCTCCCTCCTGGAACCAGGTGCTCCTCCCGGAGGGACTGCGTTCCATCCCAGCCTTCTGCGGGGGGCTGCTTTAGCGGCTAGGTCTCCAGGTCCCCCTTCCCGGCCTCTGCCTGCCCCTTGTTTTATGGTGGCTTTTCCTGGCTTCCTGAGAGCCTCGCCGCTCCGGTTTCTCAGAGTCCATGACTTTGTTTCATTTAAATTCCTCTCCCGTCCCTGAGTCATTCACCCCTGTTTTGTTTTCTCTTTTACCCAGGAGTTTCCCTCAGCCCACACTCACAGGCACATGCAGCCCTTTCTTCACATCACCCAGCCCTGCCCTGAAGCTCCTCCGCCCGCATCACCCCGTGTGACATCATGGAGGAGGATACCTGTGGCTGTAGACACATGCGTGGTCAACTCCAGCAACGGTGCCCCACATCGTGGGGGCCATCCGCCCTCTCCTCCAAACCCAGATGGAAGGGTGGAGGGCAGCTCTGGGGTGGTCTTCTCTGGAGTGTGGGGGCTGCAGGGCCCCTCCTGGGTTGGAGCTTCTTGGCTCTGGAGACGCGGGGGGCCTTCCAGAGAAGCATGGGGCCTCCCCATGTCCTGCTGCAGCGAGTCTGTGTGTCAGGCAAGGACCACGCCAGCTGGAGCCGTCAAGCCAGGGACCAGCTCTGGGGGTCTGATATGTAATTTTAATTTTGCTTCTCTACAAAGACAGCAGCTTTAGGAATCAGGCTTCGGTTGTGAAAGAGAAAGCACCTCCAATCCCCAAAGCTCTCCTTCTGCCTCAGAGAGGCTGCGAGGACCTGAAGCTGGGGCGGCTCCTGGGAGCCTCTGGAAGGGGCGTCACCAGCCCTGCCCCGCCCCCCGCAGAGCTGCCTGCTCCCAGAGTGATTTTAACAGCAACTTGCTGTTTCTTTCTTTTTTTTTTCTGAACTTTAATGATCAGATTTATTTGGAGAAAGCAAAAATCCCACAACCCAAAGATGGGATTTTACATGGAAGCCATCTCCGAGATAATTACAATCTACAGATTATAAACCATTTTCATAGAAGACACTTTAGCACAAATTTTACATGTATTCAGGAGTGGGCTTTACATCAATCTCTATTTCCATTTTCGCAAAGGAGCAAGGTTGGGAGCGGGATCTTTTTGTTTTTAAGGTAAAACACTCATGGCGGAACTCGCCATTTTAACCACATTCAGTGCACAGTTCTGTGGCACTGGTTCATCACAGCATTGCCCAGTCACCAGCGTCTAGTTCCAGAGCACTCTCTTAACTCCAGGGGAGACCTGTGGGCACAGCACCTCTTCCAGGACGCCCTGGGGACAGCAGCTGCATACTCCTTCCAACGCCTGTGACTGCCCTGCTGCCGGCAGAGCTATGCTCACTCCATGGAGGGGCGGGCATGACCCCACCCTAGTGTTCAGAAGGAGCCCCAAGGGGCTGGGAGCCTGGGCATGGCCATGGGGTGGGGAGGGGAGGCCAGGCTGGGGGAGGCTGTGCAGGGTCTGGGGCTCGGCTGGGGGCTGGAGGGGAGCGGTTGCCAGAGAGAGGATGGTCGGCCAAGCTGGGAGCAGGGGCAGGAGTCTGTCCAGGAGGCAGTGGGGGGAAGAGTGGGGCGGAGACTGGCAAGGGTGCTGTGAGGGGAGGTCTGGATTCATTCCTGATGAGACCTGAGCCCGATGTGGGTGGGAGGCTGGGGGCCCGCAGGTCCGGCCAGCGGCCTTGGCTGGACACTTGCTTTTTGCACCTGCAGCCTCAGGCCTTTGCTGGGCAGTGCCTTCCTGCCCCACCCCTCAGCCCACGCTGCCGGGGCCTCCCCTCCTGGCCACCTTCCCCTCTTCACATCAGGTGCCAGACCAGCCGCCTGCACCCGCCTCAAAGGCAGGTGCACCTGCACCCCAGCCAGACCCACAGGCTCCTCCATGAGCTGCAGGTGGTTCTGGGGATCCTGCCGGCGGATTCTCCCACTCCTCAGACGCGGCATCCCGGCGCTGAGGCGGGGCATGGATGCCAGCTCAGGGTTTATCGTTCCCGTGCCGAAGCGGCAAGGGATGGGGCCACACAGGCAGGGACGGGAGCTGCGGGGCCACGGGCTGAGAGGAGAGTCCCGGCCCGCAGCAGCCGTGCCACGGTCTCCACACGGCTGGGCACTGGCGCCTGCTGCCCTCCGTGAACTCCAGAAGCCGGGACTGGGTGGAGCCTCCAGGAGATCCCCAGGGAGGCGGGTGGGTGCTTCGGGGCATCAAGGGGAGGGTGCTGAGGAGGAGCCAGCGGGATATTTCTGGAAGGGGACTGAGGAAGTGGGGCAGGGCCTGAGTTGGGAGCGGGGGACTCTTGGGAGTGCCCGCGGCTTTGGGGCGCGTACCCGCCTGGACTCCAGCCGCCCCGCCCGCTGCTCACGCGGAAGCCCTGGGACCCTCGGGCGCAGACCTGGCCGGGGCCGCCGGGCCCAGCACGAGGCTCTCGGTGGGCTGTGGGCTGCAGGAGGACAGGGAACGGCCCGAACCGCGCCGGAGGCGGGCTCGGGGCTGCGGGAAGGGAACCGGCCCCCGGCCTCCCCCGCTGCCCGGGCCCCGCGGGCGGCCGCGCAGGTGGTCGCGGTAGTTCCTGGTGAGCAGCGTGTAGAGGAAGGGGTTGGCGCAGCTGTTGCCGTAGGTGAGGCACGTGGTCAGGTAGTTGACGATGCGCGCCGTCCGCGGCGCCAGCGGGGCCTCGCGGTACTGGGCGAGCAGCTGCCACAGCCAGAAGGGCAGGAAGCAGGCCCAGAAGAGCAGCACGATGCCCAGCACCAGGCGCAGCGCGCGCGCCCCCGGCCGCCGGGCCCGCTTGAAGGAGGCGCGCTGCGAGCGTCGGTAGGCGCGGGCCAGGCGCGCGTAGAGCAGCCCGATGAGCAGCCCCGGCCCCGCGATGCTGGTGGCGAAGAGCAGCGTCAGGTAGGCGCGGTGCGCGCGCGGGCCCCAGGCCGGCAGGCACAGGCTCTTGGGGCCCCGGCGCACCAGCCGCATGGCCAGCGTCACGGGCAGCGTCAGCAGCAGCGCCAGCAGCCAGGTGCCCAGCGCCAGCAGCTTGCGGTAGCCCTTGGAGCGCTGCACGGTGTCCAGGGGCCGCAGCACCGCGGCGTAGCGCTCGCTGCTCATGACGGTCAGCGTGAAGATGCTGGCGTGCATGGTCAGGAAGTCCAGGCTGAAGAGCACACGGCAGCCCACGTCCCCGAAGTGCCACTCCTTGGTGACGTAGGTGGCCACGATGAAGGGGATGCTGAGCAGATAGAGCAGGTCGGCTAGCGCCAGGTTGACCACGTAGACGTACATGGAGGCCACAGCGCGCAGGGAGCGGCAGGTGACCACCAGCGTGTAGGCATTGCCCACCACGCCCACCACACCTATGGCCGACAATAGCGCCCCAATGGTGCCCGTGGCCACCAGGTCCTCCAGGGAGCTGGGCTCCGTCGGGCTGGCCCAGGAGCTGTTGAGGGTTGCATTGGAGCCACCAGGCGGCTCAGGCACAGAGTTGCCGGTGTCAGCCAGCCCAGGGAAGCTGTTCGGGGACTCGGGGGTCAACGCCATCTCTGACCCCTTGGGATGGGCTCAGGACTGGGTGTCCACTTCCTGAGACAGGGTGGGGGCACCTGTGGGCAACCAGCTTGGCCTGTGGGGAAAGAAGCCTATTAAAGATGCAAGTCAGGCACGCCCTTCCACTCCCACGAGGCCACTGTGACAGCCCTGTTCCCACAGGGTCACATGGGCTGCAGAGGGACGGGGCTCCCCAGTGCTCTCCGACTGCTGAGGACTCTCAAAGCCATCAGCTCTGCAGGAGGACTCAAGATCCACCAGACAAGCTGACCCCACCTCCACTCCCATGCATGCCCCAGCAGGACCACCTCCCCCACCTCACTATAGGTCCCATGGCCTCTGGGATCTACTGGGCTTTCTGAAAACCAGAATACAGGAGGGCAGCCCCTGGGGCAGAGGTCAGCAGTAGACAGAGCTGGGAGTCCTGGGCTCTGCCCTGCCTACCCACTGCACCCCTCAGGCCTCACTTTCTTGTCTGTGCACAGGCAGGGCTCACTTACCCCTGAGTCCTTTCTCTTATTTCACTTGTACATTTTAAAAAATGTTTTCTTCAGATTGTAAAACTAGTAGCTGCTGACTTTAAAAGTTCAAATAGAAAAACATGTAAGGTGAGGAGGGGAGGGGGCTGCCGTCTCCATTCTCCTACAGGGAAATGAATTCAAGATGGATTGCAGGCCTAAATGTGAAAGGTTAACTCAATCATTCAGTCAAAGTTCTGGAAGAAAACGGGAATACTGGCATGACCCTGGGTGGGAAATGTTTTCTTAAAAAATGGACAAAAAAATACTTGCAATAAAAGACTGAGCAAATGGGTTTCATTAAAATTGGTAACTTTACCAAGAAAGCCAAATTATAAGCCACAGGCTAGGAGGTCATCAGAAAACATGAGGCCAGGTGCGGTGGCTCACACCTGTAATCCCAGCACTTTGGGAGGTCAAGGCAAGTGGATCACCTGAGGTCCGGAATTCGAGACCAGCCTGGCCAGCATCCCGAAACCCCTCTGTCTTTACTAAAAATACAAAAATTAGCCAGGCATGGTGGTACATGCCTGTAATCCCAGCTACTTAGAAGGCTGGGGTAGGAGGATTGTTTGAACTTGGGAGACGGAGGCTGTGGTGAGCCAAGATCAAGATTGCGCCACTGCACTCCAGCCTGGGCGACAAAGTGAGACTTCATCTTAAAAAAACAGGAGGGTGGGACCATATATCAGACCAAGAGCTAACAACAAAAATATAGAGAAGAGCTGTAAATTAGTAAGGAAAAGACAAACCGCCCATTTGGAAAAAGGAGACCAAAACCCTGCCCAGGGACTCTGCAGAAAAGGACAGGGACGTGGCCAACAAGCAGGGAAATGCCAATCACGGCCCCAGGAGCCCCTGAGTGCTGACAAGCATGAACCTGTGACAAGGCAGGCATCCTTGTCAGCGGGCGTGGGGGCTGCAGAGGAGCTGGCCTCGCTGTTTCCTGTTGCTGGGAAGTGGACTGTGCCCCGGCTTTGGAAAGCTGCTGACCCATGTGCAGAGTTGACTGAGCCTATACCTTCTATACCTTCTTACTCGGCAATTCCTCTCTTAGGTTTGCACCCTAGACAAAGGACCGCCAATGTCCAGAAAAAGACAAGCGTGCAAAGTTTGGGGCAGCTTTACTCCTAAGAAGCTGGAAACAGCTCGAATGTCCCCAGTGGAGGGGGCAAGCAAATTGTGACACCAAGCCAGTGAAGAAGGAATCACTGCTGGGGTCAGCAGCCCGGATGAAACTCACAGGGCGGTGCTGAGCAGAAGCAGCAGACCCAAGAGCTTGCCTGAGCCCATGAGCCACGCTGAATTTGGGCAGAACACTCATGGCCGCGCAGGGAGCAGTGGGCTGGGGTGGCGCGGCATCAATGGGTCGGGGCGCCGGGGGCCTACTGTTGGCCTGGAAATGTGCCCTGCCCGCCCTTTCCCTCCAAGCCCGGCAGCTCCCAGCTCCATCTGTCCAGAGGACCCTCACCCTGTTGCTGCCCCCACCCGGGGCATTTACAGAGCCCTCACCCATGGGACCGCGCAGAAGCCGAGGAGCCACCGGGCTCCCCAGACACGCGGGAGCCCGAGTCACGGGCAGGGGGTAGTGACCGCCGGGCCGCGCTCCAGGGTCGCCAGGAGGGAAGGCGAGGGGCCGAAAGTTCCATGGCGCCGGAGCGACCGCCTCGCCGGACCCCGCTCCCAGCGCCCAGGGTGGGGTCAGGCCCCGAAGGGCACAGGCCTCACGGGCCCTCCTCGGTCCCGCATTCCCCGCGGAGAACCCACCTGCCTCCGGTCACGGAGCCTCCAGACCTGCCCGCCGAGCCCGGCTCCAAACTCCTCTCGCAGAGGGGCCGCGGGGAACGTTCCAAAGCGCGCTCCCCTCTCGGGGCGCAGAGGGGGCGCGAGGGACTCCGCCGCGGCCTCGGCTCCCAGAGCGCACGGGGCAGGGGTGCCCGCCCGCCGGTCCCGCCACCAAAGCCGCGCCCCGCGCCGGGTCCCTGCGCCGCCGCCACCTTCCCGCCGCCAGCTGGGAATGCGCCGCGGCCCCGCGCCAGCGCCCGGTATTAAAATAACCCCGGGCCACGGCGGCCCCAGAGGGCAGCGGACGCTCGGGGAGGACGGCGCTGGGGGCCCTGGGAGGCCGCGCTGCCCGCACGGGGCCGCAGCGGGGTCGGCGGGCGCCGCCCTCGAGGGTTCCGGGCGGGTCTCGCGTCTGCAGAGCGGCGCTGCCCGAAGCCCCGCTGCCCTGAGGCTGACCCCGCAGCCCCTCTCGGGTTCTCAGCCTCCAGCCTTCGCCCCTGCGGCCCCCACGCCCGTGTTTTAAGGGCACGGAGCCTGGGATTCTCTTCGTCCACCAAGCCCTGGACCCGCCTGTGCGCAGGTGCGGGGCGGGAGCGCCCCTAAACCCCGACAGGATTCTAGAAAGGAGGTAGGGGAGGGATGGAGTCACCCACCCAGAAGGGTTCGGGACGAGCTCCTTGGGGGTCTCGAGGACCTTCGCCCCCATCTGCAGGTCTCCCTCATGCTCTTAGAAGTCCATGCACACTCTCCAGGCTCCGGCAGGGACTCCGGTGGCCACATCCGCGGAAGTGATGCTGGGGGCTGCAGGGTCCTGCGGGGTAGGAAGAAGGACCCCCGGCCTCGCCCTCGAGCCCCTGAGCTGGGCGCTGGCCCCCAGGCCCCCACTCGGTTTCACTTCCTGCTAGCAAGTAGGATGTGGGCCATCATTCATGCCGAGCCGCTGAAAGAAAGAGACACAGAACATTAATGAAATGTAGACTAGTGGATGCTGGAGAGCTGTGAACGCGGGGGGTCTAAGGGGCCTCCAGCGAGGAGCAGGCCTCGCCCGCTCCACTACGCCCAGTCTCATCAGCTGCCCGAGGCCGAAAACCGGGCCCCAGAAGCTGAAGGGGTTCTGCTGGGGGAGAGGAGGCAGCCAAGTGTGAATGGCCGTGAGCCCTTGCAATGAGCTGGATCCCGGGGAGCCCCCAATGCCCACCAGTCCCCTCCATGGAACGTTTACCGCGTGCTGGGGAGGCGAGGCTGGGCTGGAGAGGGCAGGGAAAGTCCCTTTGGTCTCAGAGCCTCCACTGGACAGAGTGAGGGTCACACGGTAGGACAGTTCATGCTCCGTGAGCTGAAAAAAGCCTCACCCGAATCAAAGGAGTCTAAGACCAAAGTGTCCTGGCCTACAAAGCAGCTTGTTTTCTCTGTTATCAGCCTGCCCAGCTACTTAGGTCATAAATCAAATACTCGAAGAGCCCCTGAGCTGACTGGGACTGCCATGCACCGTGGGCTGCAACAAAATGCAGCAAGACAGCCCTGAAGAAAACACCTAAAGCCCTTGCTCAACAACCAGTAGGTGCCGTTCAGGAAGAGTGTGACCCCCCCCACCCATAGTATTCAGCCTGTGAGGAGCAGGTGGAGGGGCCTGCCCACGGCGGGATAAATTGCTTGCTGAAACTGTGCTGGAGTGCCTGTCCATCCGACGCCTGATCTTGCAAGACCCTCATTAAAGGTCTCACTTTCTCTGTTCTCCAGGTCTCTGAGTCCATTTCTTGGATTTGGACGGCTGAATGTGTTTCTCACAAGGGTCAATGGACATTTTGCAACTTTAAAAGTGTAGTACCTAAATTTCAGAAATCAAGGCAAAAGGCCGGGTGTGATGGCACACTCCTGTAATCCCAGCACTTTGGGAGGCAGAGGTGGGCAGATCATGAGGTCAAGAGATCGAGACCATCCTGGTCAACATGGTGAAACCCCGCCGCTACTAAAAATACAAAAATTAGCTGGGTGTGGTGGTGCATGCCTGTAGTCCCAGCTACTCAGGAGGCTGAAGAAGGACAATCACTTGAACCCAGGAGGCGGAGGTTGCAGTGAGCCAAGATTGAGCCACTGCATTCCAGCATTCCAGCCTGGCAACAGAGCAAGACTGTCTTGAAAAAAAAAAAAAAGAAAGAAAGAAAAAGAAAAGAATCACAGCAAAAGAAAAAATCAGTTAACTTGAAGATCTGTCAATAGAAATTATCTAGACACAGAAAGAAAAGAATGAAAAAACAGAAAAGCATGTGGAACCACACCATCAAATGATCTGATCTATATGTCACTGGAGTCCTCAGAAGAATGACAGGAAAATGGGGCAGGAGCAATATGTGAAAAGCTAGTGGCTGAGAAATTTTCAAAACTGATGAGCAGTGTCAACTTACAGACTTTAGAATCTTAGTAAATCACAAGCAGGAAAAAACTAAAAGCAAACAACTCAAGCACATTATAGTAAAGCATTCCAGAAACCAAAGGTAAACAGAAACTGTAAAAATTATTGAGACTAAAAAAAAAAAGATAACACATTCAGGGGACAATAGGAAAGATAGCTAGATTCTTCTCATAAAACCATGGAAACCCCACTGGGCACAGGGGCACATGCCTATGATCCCAGCACTATGGGAGGCTGAGGTGGGCAGATCACCTGAGGTCAGGAGTTCAAGACCAGCCTGACCAACCTGGTGAAAGCCTGTC